TTCTTCCATAAAATAGACTTCACTTTTTAATACACAGTATATAGATAGGATTTAAACATATGAGAAATAGAAGAATAATAATATAATGTATTAATATTAAATATTTATGTTACATAGGAAAAAAAATGAGACCATCTTCTTTCTCTTGTTAACACATTAATCAACAACATATCAACCTATCTTTTCTTCTTTCTTTATTTTTCAAGACTTTCAACCTATCTTATTTTACCATTTAAAAATATTATATCTTTAAATTATTCTAATAATCTTTTTAAGGTTCCTTCGTTGAATAAATTACCTTTCTTAAATTCGTGAGCATATTTGAAATATCTTAGGGATTTGATTTACAGGAATTTGAAAAAATAGTTTTAGAATTTTTAAAAACTTTTCTTAAATCCTTAGTTAATCTATCTTTGGGAGCAAATCTTATACGGATTGGTCTTAACATTACTAGAATTTTTGCACCAATAATTGAGGATTGAAGTGAAAGAAACGAATAATAGAAGAATATGAAAATATAGTCATACGTTATATAATAATTTTTTGATAAAAACTAATTTAAAATTTATTAAAAACACCTGAACTTATAAAATCTGTAGTATTTTATGGTCAAAATTTAATTTTAAGAAAAGAATAAAAGATTTAAGGGAACCTCACTTCTCTCACCGATCGCGCAAGCATATTCTGCACGCGCAACGCACGTGAGATGCGAGTCAAAAGCCGGTTGGCGACCAAGGTACTAAGGTGGGCCCCTTCCTTTTATTATTTAACTCCCAACCTCATGCACTGATTTTTCCATCCCATCTCAACTACTGAACGACTTGATTCATCGATCTCGAACCAACCCTCCTGCTGCCGGAAATGGACATCAAAGAAGCAATCAGAAACCATGGCGACGTCGCCATGGTCATCACCAAGCGCATTCTCCAACACGACGAAGCCAAGGGTTCCAACGTTGTGATATCCCCCTTGTCAATCTACGTGCTTCTCAGCCTTGTCGCTGCCGGCTCCAAGGGCCCCCCGCTGGATCAACTTCTATCCTTCCTCAAATCAAACTCCGTCGACAACCTCAACGCCTTCGCTTCTCACATCATAGACAAGGTCTTCGCCGATGCCTCTTCCTGCGGCGGACCTCGCCTCGCATTTGCCAACGGCGTTTGGATCGATCAATCAATTTCTCTCAAGCCTTCTTTCCAACAGGTTGTCGACAAATATTACAAGGCCATGCTCAGTCAAGTCAATTTCAAACAGGTAATTGATTTACTCATGTTTGCAATTATTTATTTATAATCAAATAAATTTCAAGGATGGAAAAGATTAAGGATATATAGATATTTGTGTTGTAATAAAGTATTATTTGTTTCTTTGGTTGCATGGAAAGGCTGATAAAGTGATCTCTTTAGTGAACTCATGGGTTGAAAAAAACACTAATGGACTTATCAAAGAGATTCTTCCCCCTGGATCAGTGGACGGTTTCACTAGGCTCATCCTTGCGAACGCACTCTACTTCAAAGGGGCATGGGACAAGAAATTTGATGCTTCGAAAACAGTGAAGCGTGATTTCTACCTTGTTGATGGGAGCTCAGTTGAAGCGCCCTTTATGACCGACAAGGAGGACCAATATGTAGCTGTGTTCGATGGGTTTAAGGTTCTTGCACTGCCGTACAGTCAAGGTTCTGACCCACGTCGTTTTTCTATGTACTTCTTTCTCCCAGATAGCAAGGATGGACTGGGAAGTTTGATTGAAAAGTTAGATTCTGAGCCTGGGTTCATCGACCGCCACATTCCACGTAGAAAACATGAGCTGGGGAAATTTATGATTCCAAAGTTCAAAATTTCCTTTGGGATTGAAGTTTCCGATGTCTTAAAGAAGCTAGGATTGGTGCTGCCTTTCTATGAAGGAGGGTTGCTAGAAATGGTGGAGCCCCCAATGGCTCGAAACCTTAGTATTTCTAAAATATTCCACAAGGCGTTTATTGAGGTTAATGAAGAAGGCACCGAAGCTGCAGCTTCTTCAGCTGCTGTTATACAATATATGAGCGCGCCTATAGGTTTGATAGAGTTCGTTGCCAATCACCCGTTCTTGTACTTGATTAGGGAAGATAAGTCAGGAACTTTACTTTTTATTGGGCAGGTGTTAAACCCTCTTGAAGATTGAATAATCACAATCATAAAGAATGAACCTAAATAGCTCCAATAAAATGTAGTAACACTTAATGCTACCAAAGGCATGTTTTAGCCTGTCATATGAATATCTATATGTATTATCTATAACATGTTTTGCATAGTGATCTTTACGTGTTATTTCTTGTTTTACAAATTGTGGCATGTTTTATGTTTGTTTTGCCCAGCTGTGTTTTACAAAATTTTCTTGTTAATTGTTCTTTAACATCATTTGTATAAATTAAAGTATGAAGATAAGTTTTCAGAACTCTCATCTTTCTGTGTCATAATCTATGGAGTGATTGTGCCCTAAGTAAGTTATTGAGGACGACCACTAGTTTGATTGGGGAGAATATCACAAACTTACTATAAATAGAGTATTGTATGTGGGAAAGCGGAACAAATGTACTCACAACACCAATGATAGGAATTAAAGAAAAAACACCAAGATATTTACGTGGTTCGGAGAGAAGAAGTTCCCCTATATCTACGGATAGCAACCAATCACTAATCAAACAAAGTGTTACAAGTGAATGTCTCAATATCACACTACCAAGGCTCTCACCAATATGTCACTCAACAGATACAAAGTGACCCCAAAAACTCTCCCAAATCCCTATACCACTTGTTAGGAATGGATATACGGAAGAGAGGGAGAAGTCTCTCGTTATATAGCATTACAGAATCAAATCTCTGATATAACTAAGATTAAATCTAATTCAAATAACCAAATCAAATTTAATCTAAATAACCAAATCAAATTTAATCCAAAAACAAAATCAAATCTAAATAACCAAATCAAATCAAAATTAATGACAATTTACAACAATTCCACCTTGTCATAAGATCTCTAAATCAAATCAAAACTGATGACAATTTACAACATAAAGTAGGTTGTGACTCTCACGTTACGACAAGAGAAGTGGCGATCATCATGTAGCGTCCATCTAGCCACGCGAGGGCCTAGACGAGTGTCATGATGCGACCTAAGAGAACGGTGTATCATCTAACACATCACACAGAATGGGTATTGAAGAGTAGACGAGACATGTCACAACCCAACTTTCGGGGTTTTGAGTTGGATTTTGAGAAATCAGATTGCGATGAAAAGACGAAAATTAAACACAAATAAAAACATAATCAAAATAAAACAAAACATTAAAAAGGTGAAAAAAAATACGGTAAAATTTTGTGCGGTTTAAAAGACATACAACATCCATATCAAAATTCAAGATACAAAATCAACTCTAAGGGATAGTTTATTATTTTCAAAGGTTTTGTTACAATAAATTAATATATATTATTTTTAAATAAATTTAAGGGATAGTTTATGAATATTATTTAAATTTAGTCTTAATGTTTTTGCTTTTGAAAATTTGAGTGTATTGTTAAAATAAATTATTAATAATTTTCTGATGCCTACCGTATAGATAGGATTTTAATATATGAAAGATAAATAATAATAATATAACTTAAATAATTAGTGTATAAATATTAAATAATCATTATTATATGGGTAAAGTTTATTTTTTTCCCACTCACTGTAGCCTTTTAAAAGTAATTACATGTGGGATGCAATATAATATAATTTGATTGGTTAAGGTATTATAACTTTTAGTAAAAAAAATTAAATTTAAATCTTCATCCCAATTATTGTGGTAAACATAATAAAAAATGTCTTTATAGTCCATTTAAATTATACATTACTATGATTATAATCCATTAACGCAATTTAGTCAATCATACCTTATGTTATAATCGATTATGTTAATCAAATATCAAAATATTTTGGTTACTATTATTTAAAAACATCATATTCTTTTTTGTTATCAAATCACAACACTTAATAAACTTCAGTGTGTATATATATATATATTTCAATATTTATGTTACCATCTTTCTCTCTCTCATTAACACATTAATCAACAACGTATCTAACTTTTTTTTTTTTTTTTTTTTTTTTTTTTTTTTTTTTTTTTTTTTTTTTTTTTTTTTTTTTTT